CTTTTGACTGCACTCCAAACACCTTGGTCTGTGACCCTGATCTCGCCCCATCCGACTACGCTCCGACTGTGCTCCAAACACCCGGGTCTACAACCCTGATCTCGCCCCATCCGGCTACGCTCTGACTGCGCTCCAAACACCTAGGTCTGCGACCCTGATCTCGCCCCATCCGGCTACGCTTCCGACCGTGCTCTAAAGCACCTGGGTCCGTGACCTCGATCTCGCCCCACGACTTCGACTCACCCGATCCCACGGTGCGCACCGACGCCAGGATCAGTGAGCTCTGTCTGGTCCAAATCCCTTGACTAAATCCCTCACTCGAACCCATGGCGCGCATCGACGCCAAGATCAGTGAGCTCAGCCTCATCCAAACTAACTTCCTCACCCGATGCCACGGTGCGCACCGATGCCAGGATCAGTGAGTTCTGTCTCAATCTCTCAACCAACTAAATGCCTTAGCTGCACAACGATGCCTTGGTTAAACAAACTCCGTCCCAACTAAAAAATGCGCACACATGCCCGCTACCGAACACCCCCCAGACGGTTCTGCCCGAACCACCCGGGGGTTCGGAGGCTACACCCATGGGTGCGCTCGCGCGCACCCACCGACAAAACAAAAACCTCCCCCACTGATAACACAGAAAATCCCCCAGACGGTTCTGCCTGAACCGCCTAGGGGCTCGGGGGCTACACCCGCGGGTGCGCTCGCGTGCACCCACCGTCAAAAATAAAAATCCCCCGGACAATTCTGCCCGAATTGCCCAGGGGCTCGGGGACTCCTGTCGGGTTCATAAACCCGGGGTCCCTCGGGGACCGACTTCCACGCTAAGGCTCGGCCCAAGCAGACAGCACACAACTCATGGGCCGGACCAAGAGTCTAAAACAACAGGCCGAAAAGGTAGTCCAGTCACCGACCGGAAGGTCTGGCCAAAGAGGAACAACGCCCACTCGTCGACTACTTCGGCCCACCTCTCCGACCGGAGCGCTCGCTTTGGACTCCAGCCGCCTCCGGACGGCCTCTCCGATCGGAAGGCCTGGCCCAAGCGCTACTTCCGACTCTGACCCCGCATCTCCGACCGGGGTTCGCAGAAACCCTGCTCACCGCTCTTCTCCAACTAGCGTAACCAGAGCCGACTGGGGCCATCCGACCGGGGATGCCCGCTCGAAAAGGATCAAGGGGCAAGCGGAGAAAGCAAGCCAGGGCGCACAAGTGAAACCACGATACTAGGGACCATACCTTGTACGCCTGTTGGAATAGTACTCTGCAACCGCCCTGACACAAACAGTATTGTAGGCGCCGACATTTCCCTCTACAGTATTGTGGGCGCCATTAAAACTCCCATACGGTAAGGCCCCCCACATGCCTCTGGGCATCGATAGTGTTGTGGGCGCTAGGATTTACCGTACCGGGTGAACGTGGTGAAACTTCTCACATGCCTCTAGGCATCAACAGTATTTATAGGTACCGACATCTGCCATTTCTGAAGAAGGCAATGCAACCTCCCACATGCATCTGATATTCTACAGTGACATCAACAGTGTTGTGAACGCCTACCATTATCTTGTACCCGTTGGCATGGGCAACAAAGCCCAGTAGCATACGTACCCTCACCCTCTTACTTGTAAAGCCATCCCCTTTATCTATAAAAGGGGATGCGCTCCCTCCAACGAGAGGAGAGTCTTTTCAACCAAGATCGATCAAGTTCACTAGCTAACAACCACAAAACCGCTGGGTTCGAACTCTAAGCACACGCTTAAACACTTAGCTCATAGCGGAGCTCCTATCACTCTCGGCCCTTCCGACCGGAGCCGACTAGACCTCTTACACACCCCTTTTTCCTCCTTCTCGTTTGTAATCCCATTGCAAACTTTGAGCACCTGGGCTCAGGAATAAAGTCACTGACCGACCCAAACTGGACGTAGGGCACGTTGCCTGAACCAGTATAAACCCTGTGTCATTGAGTGCTAGGCCACCTCCGATCACAATGTACGACAAAACTATAAATATTCACTAGTTAGTCACTTTCTGTACCGACAACAACAGTGTCATCATCAAGCAAATTAATAATAAGGATATGCTAAAATAATGCCTCAAACAACTACATCCACCGTGGTAAGAGAATTCTGAAAAAGACATTCATGTTTGAATGCATTGTAATGCGCTATAAATATTTATGCTTTTCTTAATTATGCTTAATATGATTTATTAATTATAGATCGTAGACACATCATTTGCCATTTATATTTATATTCCGGCAATCAAGATTTTAATGAGGCTATGAGAGAGATAAGAGAAACTAGTTTACCATAATGCATTTTTGTACCCTTCGACACTAGAGTATGAAGTTACAACATTAGAAGAAGGAGATGGAAAAAATGGAAGCAGCTATAAAAGAGCTACCTTTGCTACCAAGTGACACATCTGGAATTGAGGTGGTGTTTAAATTCAGAGAGTAAACTTTAGAAATGTCACATCGGGATGTCACATGGGAGTGTTCGGATAATAATAATAAAACAAATTATAGAAGTCCTTAGTAATCTGCGAGACGAATTTATTAAACATAATTAACCTGTCATTAGCACATGTTTACTGTAGCACCACATTGTCAAATTATGGACTAATTAGGCATAAAAAATTCATCTCACAAATTAGTCGTAATCTGTGTAATTAGTTATTTTTAGTCTATATTTAATACTCCATCCATATGTCCAAACATCCGATGTGACATGAAATAAACTTTAAGATGAGGACCTAAACAAGGCCCGAATAAGTTGCACACTGAGCTATAGTCGACATACACAAAATAGTTGACAAGTACGATGAATGCATTGGTGTTGCATCTAGTAAGAAAGCTCATCAAAACTATGGATATTTTTTTTAGATGATCAAAACTATGGATACTGAGAGATTAGCTTTAAATGTCAAAGATACATTTGGATCTAGTATTTAATTATTTTATGAATTTTATAAGAGATAGTGAGAACTCTGTCATAGTTTTATATTGATATATATAGTTCGAACAACATATAGAAAGATTGTTTACGAAAGTTTATCCATCGACACTTACGTTACGTGTTGTGAAGGTCATTGAATAATCTTTTGTCTAACAATAATACTCACGGGCGTTCGTCCTTATTCAGAAGCCGCGCGTTCACGCACTCGTCTTGCGGCTGTCTTTCCCCGTGGCTCGTTCCTACCCGCGACGCATGCGCCCGCTGGCGTCGCACGGCTGCCCATTCTCGTGTTGCGCTCCATCCTAAGCCGCATCGCACGCCCCATCTCCTCCCTACCCACACACGCACCGCCGCGTCCCATCCCCCATGTTGTCGCTGCTTGGCCGGCTCTAATGGGGTATGTGCTGTCGGCGGTGGCGAGGGTGACGGAGCAGCCCACAACATTAGGGGTGACCTAGGAGATGTCTCTCCTCATGGGGCCCCTCTGGGCAGCGGCCTGGCTCGACCTCCCTGCTTAACTAGGGCTCACCATTGCCACTCCAACATCTCCCAGGGTGGCCTTCATCCGCTCCTTATACACCTCGTCGATCTACGCATTTCGCCACCAGGTAGGCCGTGGCCTCGCAAGCGAACGCTGTGTTTCAATTGTTTCAGGCGTTTCAAACTTTTGTGTTTCATCTTTATGTTGCAACAGTATATCTAGGATGTTGCATTTGTTGTAATGACAAAATACACATTTTGCAAGCCTATGTTTCAAGTGTTTCAGGTGTTTCTGATGTATGTTGAAAATATTTCATCTGGATGTTTCAAAAGTATTTCTTGGTGTTGCACATGTTGCAATGGCTACACTTCGCATGCATGTTTCAAGAGCATATTTCAAGTGTTTAATCTGTTTTAGACTTATATTGCAATTTTTCATCTGGATGTTTTAAAAATAGATCTGGTGTTGCACATGTTGCTATGGTGCCGGTGGCTTATGGACAACAGCTTGTTGCAAGGGTTTGGCTCCTACCTCGCGCGGCACATGCCTTGGCCTTTCCTTTCCTCCCCTTCCCTCCCCTCCCCTCCCTTTATCTCATCGTGACAGTTCGAGCTCGCGCGTGGAAACCCTACCTGACGAGCACACAAACGTCAGGTAGGCGTAATAGCATGCGCGGGCGGGCAAGAAGCACAACAGGCATGGACAGGCGCAACATCGTGCGTAGCAGGCGGGGCAAGCGCGGACGTCCGGACGGAGGCTAGTGTGCGGACGTCCGGACGTTGGCCACGCCATTTGTCTAACTATAAAGTCACAACATTAATTTATATGAAAAAATAAATAAGAAAAGTATACTAGATACTATTCATAATCATAAAGGATAAAAAAATGAACCATACTTGAAACAAAAAGATATTTTTGTTTGTATAAATCGATCGTTTTGGAATGTTTTCATCCCGATGATATAGTCATTCACTTGGAAAATGATTGTCTATGTAAAAAAAACCCTACACTTGCTCCGTATTTTTCTTTTAAAAAAAGCGATGTAGACCCAATAGGGTCTTGTTTAGATTGCAAATTTTTACAACCTGGACACTGTAGCGTGTTTCGTTTGTATTTGACAAACTTTGTCCGATCATGGACTAACTAGGCTCAAAAGATTCGTCTCGTGATTTACAACCAAACTGTATAATTAGTTATTTTTTTACCTACATTTAATGCTCCATATATACGTCCAAAAATTAATGTGATGAAGAGAAAGTGAAAAAACTTAGAATTTAGAGGTGATCTAAACAAGCCTAGGCCGGACTTGATAAATTGAACACTCTAGAGAAGTTCGGATCTCCAAACCGACCCACACCCACCATATCCGTCCCATCGAGACCCGTTAAGCCGACCGCCATCGCCTCGTCACCAGCGCGTCATTAACGAGGCTACGAAAAAAAACCCACGTTTTTTCTTCCTCTTTTCGCTGCAACTTCCCACCACCGCCTTCATCCCCTATCCGCGTCCCCCCCGATCGATCGAACGCGGCTAACCTCGCCGCCGCCGCCCCATCGAGGCAGCCATGGCGGAGATCGCCGAGCGGGCCGTCGCGGGCGAGCTGCCGGAGGAGCCGCGGCCGCCGCACGGTGAGGAGGAGGACGAGGAGGAGGAGGAGGAGGGGGACGTGTGCCGGATCTGCCGCAACCGCGGCGACGAGGACCACCCGCTGCGCTACCCATGCGCCTGCAGCGGCAGCATCAAGTTCGTGCACCAGGACTGCCTCCTTCAGTGGCTCGACCATAGCAACTCGCGCCAGTGCGAGGTAATAAAACCGCCCCCGCCCATGCCCTCACCCCGCGGATGGGGACTCCGCTGGGTCGTTGCTTTAGGGATTGATTAGTTCGATTGCGTGGTGGAATCGATCGATTGAACGTTGAGCTGGCGTTATGGGTGCTGTTTCTTTGTTATGACTTGTAGATTGGGTCAAAACTATGTTAATAGGTGTTCATAATGGATAGGGCTATTATTTATGCCTTTTCAGTTGCTAGAATTAGGGGATTAGGGTTGAGAATCAGGACAATTGGATGGTTTTGATGATTATTCAGCTAGCAAAGGTATTTTCATAATGCTCCGCTGCTGTTATGGGTTCAGAGTATTTTCAGAGGCATAATAATTCTGTTAACCCCCTCCAGTTTCATCAAAAAAATAATTCTGTTAACCTGCAGCGTCTGCTTGTGCTTCTTAGCAGTGAGACTATTGACTTGGTATTGACATGTGATTTGCAGTTTCGGTTGCCTTATCCTCTCTTAGGCCACCTTCGGAACAAATGAAAAAATTGGTGGAATTCTAGGATTGGAATCATTAGAACGAACCTCCTCTTGAATAATTCATTTTGTTAGTCTAGGGCAAATGAGTGAACAAGTTTTAGTTGGTGATTCCAAGCACAACTCTACGGCTGGGTAGTAATGTCTTGTATTGCAAAGGAAAAAATATACTCATGACGATGATGATGTGTGTGTCTTGTTTGTCTTCACCCCATTTTCTCTAGATAATTTCTGATTTATGCATATGTGCACTGCAGGTCTGTAAACACGCATTCTCCTTCTCACCCGTGTACGCTGAGAATGCTCCGACAAGACTTCCTTTCCAGGAACTGATAGTTGGTGTTGGAATGAAAGCATGCCATGTGTTTCAATTCATCCTTCGGCTTGCCTTTGTTCTCTCAGTTTGGCTCATGATTATCCCGTTCATTACCTATTGGATATGGCGGTTAACATTTGTGAGAAGTCTTGGTGAAGCACAAAGGCTGTTCCTCAGTCACATCAGTGCTCAGTTGATCCTTAGTGATTGCCTTCATGGGTTCCTTCTCTCAGCTATCATTGTCCTTGTATTTCTCGGAGCCACCTCATTACGGGACTACATAAGGCATTTGCGTGAACTTGGTGGACATGATGCTGAGAGGGATGATGGAGGCCGTGAAAGGCATGGTGCTCGGGCTGTCAGGAGGCTAGCTGGTCCTAATAATAGGGTTCCTGCAGATGGAAATATTGATGAATTAGCAGAAGCCCAAGGAATTGGTCCTGGTGAACTTCTGAGGAGGAATGCTGAAAATGTTGCTGCTCGATTAGAACGACTTGAGGCTCAGGTTGAGCAGATGCTTGATGGTCTGGATGACGCAGATGGTGCAGAGGACGTTCCTTTTGATGAACTTGTTGGTATGCAAGGCCCTGTCTTCCACTTGGTTGAGAACGCAATAACAGTGAGTACTATTTTTCCTACAATACTTTTTTTTGGTAGATCTACATGTGTTGGCATAACTATTTTGAGTTTCAGAGTTGTGTTGCCATGCTACTGCAAAACATTGAAAACTCTTCCACTCCCTTTGTTCCAAATTGCAGGCCATTTTTATTTTGTCCTAATTCAAACTTCTATAACTTTGACCAAGTTTACAGAAAGATGTGTTAACATCTACAACACCAAATAAATGCACCATAAGGACATTTCATTTTGGATCTAATGAAAGTATTTTTCTAACAATACGGTCAAAGTTGGAGAAATTTGACTAGAGAATATTATAACTACAACATTTGGAATGGAGGAAGTAATTATTATGTCCAATTTAGTGATAAGGAGTCTTATTAGTAGGGCCCTTTGAAATAGAGTTTCAAGGAGCTTTTATGTTGAATATCATATTGGTGATAATTAAGATCATTTACCCAAGTTTTGGTTTTAAAAAATTTCATATCAAATACGAAATGAAAGTGGCTGGCACAAGAGCAGCTTGATAAAATTTTGTTACACTGTATCATCAGATTCATAGTTGAATGTACTTTCATAGTTATTACCATAAATTTTTTATTGTTTTTTGCTAGTAAATTGCATGTTCTTTTCCAACCTTTATTACAGTCGCATCTCTTATATTTCGAAACACTGACAGGAATGTCTTTTCTCCAGGTTTTGGCCAGCAATGCTATATTCCTCATTGTTGTGATCTTTGTTCCATTCTCATTGGGAAGGATTGTCCTGTACTATCTATCATGGTTTTTCTCTTCAGCTTCTACTCCTATGCTTGCAAAAATGATGCCCTTCACAGAAACGGCTATTTCTATAGCTAATGATACATTGAAGAGCGCACTTAATGTTGTGAAGAATTTTTCTTCTGACAGTAATAATGAAGGTGTTATCGGGCATGTGATTGAGGTTGTTACTCAATCCTTGAAGATAAATGCCACTGGTCTTAGTGTAATTCAAGGCACTGGGAAGAGCAGTCTGATGAAAGGAACAACAATTGGCTCATCTTACCTTTCGGATTTGACAACTCTTGCTGTTGGATACATGTTCATCTTCTGTCTTGTATTTTTGTACATTGGATCGCTGGCTTTACTTCGATATGCCAGGGGAGAACGTTTCACCATCGGAAGACTCTATGGTATAGCTACTATATTAGAGGCCATCCCTTCTCTATGCAGGCAGTTCTTTGCTGGAATGAAGCACCTTATGACTATGGTCAAAGTTGCATTCCTTCTGGTCATTGAGCTTGGTGTATTTCCTCTCATGTGTGGTTGGTGGCTTGATGTTTGCACTCTAAAGATGTTGGGCACAACAATTGCGCAGAGAGTTGAATTCTTTACTATATCACCCTTGGCGAGCTCATCTATCCATTGGCTAGTTGGGATTGTGTATATGCTCCAAATAAGCATATTTGTCAGCCTTCTTCGAGGGGTATTGCTCAGCCACTTGATATTTCGAGCAACAGCACTCAAAACATTTAAATTCTCTTATGTCCCACTGATCTCACTTTCTTTTTACCTTATTGTGGTAGGTGCTGCGCAATGGAGTTCTTTATTTTCTGCGGGACCCTGCTGATCCAAATTACAATCCATTTAGGGATTTGATTGACGATCCTGTGCATAAGCATGCCCGGCGAGTTCTTTTGTCAGTTGCAGTGTATGGAAGTTTGATTGTCATGTTGGTATTCTTACCTGTAAAACTGGCCATGAGAGTAGCTCCTTCAATTTTTCCTCTGGACATCACGTGAGTTAGCTTACCCAACATATATTCCGCTTTTTTTTGTCATTTGGAATTCCATTCCTAAATGTTTGCCTCCTGTGGAATTGCAGCATATTTGACCCGTTTACTGAGATTCCAGTTGATGTCCTTCTGTTCCAAATATGCATACCATTCGCTATTGAGCATTTCAAGCCTCGTGCAACCATTAAATCTCTTTTACATCATTGGTTTGCTGCGGTTGGTTGGGCCCTTAGCTTAACCGATTTCTTGCTGCCAAAACCTGAAGAAAACGGTGGGCAGGAAAATTGGAATGGCAGGGCAGAAAGAAGAGACAGGGGACATGGTGGGCGGGAAATGGTTGCCCCACAGGTCGAACAACGCATGATACAACATGTTGCCGCAGAAGATAATGGCAGGGGAAATGCAAATGAAGCAAATGATGCCACTGAAGAATCTGATGTAGATGATCAGGGAGACTCTGAGTAAGTATAATCGCTAGATTTGTGGAAAAGAAGTACCTATGGCCTATCTTTCCATGAATTTTGCAAACTACACAGATTACACTATCAAAATAACCAAACAGCTTTGAACATAAGTACATAACTGAGTTTGTTTAGAAAAAAAAACTGAAAACAACTGTGGTCCAATTATCTGCACAAGGGAGACTCTGAGTAAGTATAACCGCTAGATTTGTGGAAAAGAAGTACCTATGGCCTATCTTTCCATGAATTTTGCAAACTACACAGATTACACTATCAAAATAACCAAACAGCTTTGAACATAAGTACATAACTGAGTTTGTTTAGAAAAAAAAAACTGAAAACAACTGTGGTCCAATTATCTGCACAAATTTTCTGAATCAAATTTGGCACATAGATTATATATCAACATAATTGAGTAATGATCCATGTTTACAACAAATACTCGAGAGTATTTTACTGAGTATATCAACATAATAAACTATGGTTTGTTATCTGACCTTTTTCCCATCTTTAAGGTATGGCTTTGTGCTTCGGATTGTGCTCTTGCTTGTACTGGCATGGATGACGCTACTGATATTCAATGCTGGAATGATAGTTATTCCTATCTCGCTTGGCCGTCTGGTTTTTGAGGCTGTTCCCCGCCTGCCAATCACACATGGCATCAAGTGCAATGGTAATCTGCATGTGAATTCTGTTTCCTGAATTGATGTTATATGACCTCATGTTTATGAATAACGAGATCAGTTGTATAACACGTTTGCTGACACCTTTTGGAACTCTATCAGATCTGTTCTCCTTTAGCATTGGGTACTATATTCTCTGGAGTGCGGCAGCTGGGACCAGATATGCGATTGATTACATCAGATCACGACAGCTGGGATTTCTGGTACAACAGATCTGCAAGTGGTGCTCAATTGTTTTGAAGAGCTCTTTTCTCTTGTCAATATGGGTAATTCTTCTAGAATGAACTTCTACTGTTTCAACTATCCCCCTTTTGAACTTGTGGGAGTTCTCTGATTTGCGGTAGTACTGTTTTCTATGTAACTCATTGTTATTATGGATCTAAACAGCAGCGCCAATCTTTTCTTTCAGATCTTTGTTATTCCTGTGCTGATTGGACTCCTTTTTGAGCTGCTGGTCATCGTACCCATGAGGGTGCCTATTGATGAGAGCCCTGTCTTCCTATTGTACCAGGATTGGGCACTGGGGCTAATATTCTTGAAAATATGGACTAGACTGGTAAGATTATAGATCTCTGATTCTTGTGTCCTCACTATTCATTTCCCAGCTACTTATCAATCTTGTTTCTATAGGTTAGTTACCTATTTGGATATTTGTATAGAATAGGATTGAGTACATTGACCAACCTACTATGAGACTTTCCAGGTTATGTTGGATCAGATGGCACCTTTGGTTGATGAAAGGTGGAGGTCAAAGTTTGAGAGAGTTAGAGATGATGGCTTCTCCCGTTTAAGGGGTCTGTGGGTCCTCCATGAAATTATAATGCCGATTATCACCAAACTCCTTACAGCTCTCTGTGTCCCATACGTCCTTGCAAGGGGCATCTTCCCGGTCCTGGGTTACCCACTCATAGTGAACTCAGCAGTGTACCGCTTTGCCTGGCTTGGATGCCTGATCTTCAGCGCACTCTTCTTTTGTGGCAAGAGATTCCATGTCTGGTTCACCAACCTCCACAACTCCATCAGGGATGACCGCTATCTGATTGGCCGGAGGCTGCACAACTTTGGCGAGGACTCGCACTCACCCGAGCCAAGTGAATCTGGAGCAACTATAGGGTCAGATGACCAGGACCGAGCTCTTGTCCTGCGAGATCAGGAAGAGGACGTGGGTTTGAGGATGAGGCGCAATAATATGCGTGCAAACCAACAACCCAGGCTGGCTTTATAAGCAGGAAGTAGTTTTGGATAAAGAGCTCATAATCATGGTATAAGCTGGTCTGCAGCTTCTGATTGTGCTTTGTAATGGGCGTTGTAGAGTGAGTTTGTGTTAGTGATAGGGAAGGGTCTAAAGACTGTTCTCCGACGAAGCCTGGGAGAAAGATAAAGTGGTTGGTTACTATAACTTGTGGCAAACTCCCTTTCCTGTGGTAGTCTTGGCTGACTGTAAATATCGTTTGATAGAGCATTACCAGGCCGACTCAGTTTGTTGTGATCCTCTTGTAATGACTAATGAATTAAGTTGAACTGTTGGGTAGATACGAGATACTAGGTTATATCACTTTCACCACTTTTTTTTTGGTGCCATCTTTGTTTCTTGGCAACTGCAATATTGAAATGAACTAAACTCGGATGTGGGCTGCTGGTTGCATCACGGAACAAGAACAAGTTGATCTGGGCACCAATTGGTTGGGAGTAATTGAAAGCAGGAAAAGGATTTCTGAGCTAGAAGTTTAAAAATATTTGTTTGTTTTGTCGGTGGAAGTTTTGGCGGGAAGGGGAAAGGGTCAACTACCTGCTACCAATCACTCCCTAGGGAAATGGCGGGTAATTGAGTGGGAATTGTATTTTTAGTGGAATATGAATGTATCTTTATAGTTCGTTATGACCTATCCTACTTTTTTTTAACTTAAAAACTAGCACTAAACTGGATATTTTAAATGTACCCTCATAGTTCATTATGACATAAATTTTCACCAGACGAGAGATGTATTTTCTCTCCAACCTCTCCTTTTATTTACCTCCATGAATCAAACAAGTGATCGTAACTAAAATCAAATTTCCACTGTGATTTCCCTATAAATTTTCACCACTAGTTCTTATGCCCCTTCCTAGTTTCCAAGTAGTAGTTGCCAACACTCACTCTGGGCACGATTTACCGAAAACCGAGAACCGAACCGAATTTACCGAGAACCGAACCGAATTTACCGAAACCGAAAAATTCGGTTCCAGGTTCGGTTCCGAGATCTCAGGTACCGAATTTACCGAGGTATTTTCGGTTCCGTACCTCGGTAAACCGAAAGTACCGAACAATACCGAATTTACATAGTAAAGCACTAAGGCCCATGTTCTGTTGACCCAACAAAGAAATTTCACCAAGGCGATAAACCCTAGTCACTACTTGGCACTCATGAGGCGATCGGCCATCGCCCGCTCGTCCCACACTCCCACCTCACTCCACAGCTTTGGGCTGCCCGCCCAACCCTCTAAGGCTTGCTCCTCATGACAATGCCGCCTTCCTCCCGCATGCGCCCAGCAGCGCAGCTGCCTCCACAAGATGCCAGCCACTGCCATCCTCCCTCCACGGCGCATTGGTCCGCTTGCCTTTCCTGCGCCACGCTCCGGCTCCACTGCGCAGCATGTCAAGCGCCGTCCCCGCGCCCAGAGAGGCCTGCACTGAGACCCCCGTCGTCACCCGGTCGTCTAACCGAGCAAGAGCAAGGAGAGGCAATGACAATGAGGCATCGAAGACGGCTACTTCCATTGCTTCCTGCGACTCCAAGTCCAAGGTAAGTCTGATCTGAGTCTATGTTTGACTTAATGGAGCAATTTGATTCTCTAGAATCTAGATGTTTATTTTGACTTCGCTTGAATGATGATATATAACAGATGTCTCGGTCGATGAAGACATTGGCAAAGAAATCGATGATTGGGGGCTCCAAGAGGACGAAAGCGGCTAAGGAATGAAGAGGAGAGGCCTTGAGTCATGGCGGGGCTACTGGTGCCGATGGGAAGGAAGTCAGGTGCCGATGAGAAGAATCTCAGCTGCTGATGGAGAGAAACAGAAGGAGGTCATCGATGTAGATGCTGATGCTGAGGATGGGACGAAGAAAAAGGAGATGACAGCTAGATCAAAAATTTGGGACCACTTCATCAAAATCATGGAAAAGGGTGTGGTGGTCAAGGGACAATTAAAGTATTGCAAAAGTCGAGATCAAAGCACATCCAGTTCATAATGGTACGTCTGGTATGCGTAAGCATTTTGGCGTTGTAAGAGTAATCCTCATAGATCTAGTGATGATGCAACTCGGTGTGTTTTTGCAAGTTAGTGAAGGAAATAATGTAGGCACTTGGAAGTTTGACCCTGAATTGCTTAGGTCTGCCTTTACTGAAATGATAATAGAAGATGAGGAGCCATTTGGATTTGGTGAAAAACCTGGTTTTAGGAAGTTCATGTCTATTGCTTGCCCCCGTTTCATAATACCATCTAGAAGGACATGTACTAGGGACACTGTGCAATTATATTTTGAGCACAAAGCTAAACTGAAAATGTTTTTTCAAGAACATTGCAATAGAGTTTGCCTCACAACCGATGGCTGGACATCACAGCAGCAAGATAGTTACATGACTGCAGCAGCCCATTTTATTGACAATGATTGGTGCTTGCACAAAAAGATAATTAGTTTTTTCAAGGTCAAAGGGAAAAAGGGGGATGATATTGGAAAACACTTACACAAAGTATTGCTTGACTAGGGATTGGACAAAGTAATGACAGTAACAGTTGATAATGCTAGTGCAAATAATAGTGGTGTTAGTTATTTGAGGAGACAAATGAATAGTTTGAAAACTAGCATAGCAGACGGCAAGTACCTTCATATGAGATGTGCTGCACATATAGTTAATTTGATCGTGCAAGATGGTTTGAAAGAGGTAGACCAATCTATCAAGCGTATACAGGCTGCCATTAGATTTGTCAGAGCAAGTTCATCTAGGATTGCCAAATTTAAAGAGATTGCTCAATGGGAAAAAGTGGACAGCAAGGCATTCTTGAACCTTGATGTATGCACAAGGTGGAACTCGACATATGATATGCTAGCAGCTGCCTGCACATATGAAAAAGTGTTTGCTAGATATCCAGAGGAAGATCCATACTATACAATTGAATTGCTTAGTGAGACTAAGCCAGGTGTTCCAGGTCCAGGAGTTCCTGATGAGCACGATTGGGATAATGCAAGGAAACTAGCTGAGTTTCTAAAGCATTTTGCTAACATAACAACACATGTTTCAGCATCCTTAAGTGTGACTGCTCACACTTACTTCCATGAGATTTTAGAGGTCAATGCTTTGGTGAATGAGTGGCTGACTAGTGCTGATTTTGTCCAACAAGACATGGGGAAGAGAATGAAAGACAAGTATGACAAGTATTGGGGGCAGTGGCATGACAATTTGGGCTTGCACAATGAGAAGGGAAAGGGAAAGGAGAAGGAGAAGGAAAATATTAACTTGCTTATCTTTGTTGCTGTTGTACTTGATCCAAGGTACAAGCTTTCACAGTATACAGAAATTGCAATAGAGGACATGTATGGTGAGGGTGTTGGACAAAAAGTGTGGGCTGCTATTACCAAATGTTTGCATGATCTTTTTGAAGAATACAGAGCCAAGAATTCATCCCCAAGTCCTGTAAACTCCCAACCAAGTGATGAGACCCAATCTAAACAAGGTAGAGACAGTCCTAGAAAGGCGAGGAGTAACATTGTGAAGAGAATGAAGCTGAATAGTGGAGTAGGCGGATTTCATGAGGGGCGACATCGGGACTGAATTGGATAGGTACTTGGTGAAGAATGTGAAGAAGATACCAAAAATTTGATATTCTTGCTTGGTGGAAGGGCCAGCCACTAGATTTCCCATACTTTCTAAATTAGCTCGTGATGTGCTTGCTATCCAAATCTCTCACTGCTTGCTAGTGAATCGCCTTTAGCACCGGTGGGCGTGTCTTGGATGATTTTAGGACTTCACTCACTCCATTCATGGTCGAAGCTCTTGTATGTACTCAAGATTGGCTTAGAAGGGCAACTCCAATCAATCTTTCGGAAGATACGAACAATTAACTAAAAACTAGAAGAAGGTGATAACTCATAACTCTATGTGATTTATTTTTCTTGTCATTATCATTACTCGAAAAAAAATTATTACATCCTCTCGCTTATTTAATTTCAGAGTTGATTCAAGAGTTCAAGGACTTGGCCATTATTGACGGCCATGCTGCCAAGTCACAAATTCAAGGCAGCAAAAGTAGGATGGTTACCGCCACCAACATCAAGTCCCAACCAACAAAATCCTCCAAAGACCAAAGCAAGCAAGAGCAAGTCCTCCAAGCCTACATGAGTTACATGAGTTGCTGGCATCTTTATATCGTGCTAGTGTGTTTGGATCGCCGGGCCTTTGATCGGATCGCACTGCAAAGTCTTCTTCTTTGCGTCTTTACCGCTTCTTCTCTCTCACTTTCTTTGAAGTGCTGATTGCTTGCTGATTGCTATCGCCTGTTGTTTGCCTTGGGTACTGCTATGAGTATTTGTGTTAATCCATCGTGGACAACTATGAGTATTTGTGTTAATCTATCGTGGACAGCCTGTTGTGTTGTGGCCTTTTATATGTGTGATTTTAGCACTATTATTTTATATGAAACCATGTTAAATTTCTGACAATTTGCTACTGAACCTGATTTTACATGCTGGTTCGGTTCTTTCGGTAAATACCGGAACCGAACCGAAAGAACCGATACCGAATTACGTCGGTACCGAATTTTTTGTGGAACCGATCGGTACCGATTTTCTCTGGAACCGAATTTACCGAGGTACCGAGGAACCGAACCGATCGGTTCGGTAGTACCGAACGCCCAGAGTGAGCCAACACATTGTGAGAATCAGATCACCAAATGGACGAGGGGCAGGAGGTCCATCTCCATTCCCCAACCAAAATGTACCTGGATTATATTAGAATGACTAAGGTTAGAGTCAGACCTGAGGTAAGAGGGATGATAAGAACACTTTCTGACCTCGGCATGATTGAACACATGTGAGATTCCATATAAAACAGTGTCGGTGTTTCGAGTTACCACCGACGAGTAAATTTGTAGTATTGCGCGTCTGGCTCGGATGGTGTGCTTAGAGGACATGATGTTTATACTGGTTCGGGCAGAAAGTCTCTACATCCAGTTCATCGCTGCTGCTC